TCAATCAAGCGCAAAATCATCGCGCTGATACGAGTCATATGTATGGGTGTGCAATGACAATGGGTTTAAACCACAGCAATTCCAGTACCGTACTATCACATGTTTTTTTCTTACGTCGGTCAAAAATTTCTAGAAGTGTTAGTTTTGTATTACAAACTTATCGTTTGAGCTAAATCCTTCTTAGCTCGTTTTTCCCGTTTTCTCGTTTATTTTTGACTTAGCCAGACCAATACTGAATCTGAAACAATGGACTTATTTCAGAAATTTTCTTCACAAAGTTCCTAATATGGGTCCAAAGACCACGTAGTTGTGTTTATCCATTATTGTCAAAAACGCCTATTCTATTGAGTCTCATTTATGGCCAATTCTTTTTCAATGAGATCCCGTTCAGTGTCAATTTATTCGTCTGCAACATTATGCAGATAAGTCTGAATACAGATGACATCTATCAGCATGACGGCACAGCGAATGCTATAGAGTTTGCTAGAAAAGTAGCAGCAGATTATGATGCACGGGTAAATATTTCAACATTTAATAATTTTGGGATTAGCCTGTGTATTTCTCTTTCAGGACATCTTTGAGCCCTTCGCTATCATTGATTTGGATGTGGTAAAAAAGCAGCTAGACTTATGGAAATTTGCCTTGCCATCTGTGAAGGTAAAAAACCGTAATTGATGCTTTGAATGACAATGGTTACATGAGTGATTAGACGGGAAATACGAATGAATGAATGAATACAGTTGAATGATTGATGTTTAAATTTTAGCCTTACTATGCTGTTAAATGTAATCCTGACCTAAATATCTTGAAGACGTTATCAGCAAATGGAGCTTGCTTTGACTGCGCTAGTATAACTGAAATGCACCAGGTAAAGCATTGTTTTCTTAAGAAGATAGGGAATTGTTGAGGTTGGCAATTTTTCTTACAGATATTATCGAATAACTTAGCCGCCAGCAATGAGATTATTTTGGCTCACGCTATCAAATCTCGGCAGTGTATACAGTATGCCATTAAGAATGGTATTACCATGAT